GGCAGAGAGAGCGAGCAGAGACCAGCAGAGAGCAGATCCTACTCTCTTCTTATGGATCAGAGACCATTGTTCCAGAAAGCACCACGGTCTGAATTAGCCAATCACCATTGGCCAGGTACATATTCTGTTAGAGGCAGTTTTTAACCTATTGTCTATTTTTTCTGCCACTTATTATGACCCTTGTGCTGCTTCTTTGCTATGCACTTATCTGGTAGGGCAAGAGGCCTGCTCATTCTGTTCTTGAGTGAATCAGTGAAAAGGCGTCACTCCTGTTTTGCTGACTTGAAAGGCATTTGTTATTTAGTCTTATATAGAGGGGAAGAAGAGGGACTGTTCCCCACAGCAGGCCAAGATGCTGTTGGCCTTCCTGGCCACCTGGGCACGCTGCTGACTCTGGCTCATGTTAAGTCCACTGTCAACCATCACCCTCAGGTCCTTCTCCACCATGGAGCTTTCCAACCACTCATCCCCAAGCCTGTACCTTTGCATGGGGTTGTTGTGACCGAAGTGCAGGACCCAGCACTTGGTCTTGTTAAACCTCATACAACTGGCCTTGGCTCATTGGTCCAGTCTGTCCAGGTCTTTCTGCAGAGCCTTCCTACCCTCAAGCAAGTCGACACTTCCTCCCAGCTTAGTGTTGTCTGCTAACTTACTTGTCTGCAAACTTACTTAGGAAGCACTCAATCTCCTCATCTAGGTCTATTAATAAAGATATTGAACAGGCCTGGACCCAAAACTGAGCCCTGGGGGACACCACTGGTAACCAGCCACCAGCTGGATCCAACCCCATTCACTATAACTCTCTGGGCTCAGCCAGCCAGCCAGTTTTTAACGCAGCAGAGAGTGTACCTATCTGTGCCATGTGCCATCAGTTTCTCCAGGAGAATGCTGTGGGAGACTGTGTTGAAGGCCTTCCCAAAGTCCAATAGACAACATCTACAGCTCGTCCCTCATCCACCAGCCGGGTCACCTGATCACAGAAGGAGATCAGCTTGGTCAAGCAGGACCTGCCTTTCCTGGCCCCATGCTGGCTGGGCCTGATCCCATGTCTGTCCTGCGCTTGCCATGTAAGCACACTCAAGATGAGGCTCTCCATTATTTTCCCTGGTCCTAAGGTCAGACTGACTGGCCTGTAGTTCCCAGGATCTTCCTTCATACTCTTTTTGTAGATGGCCATCACACTGGCAAGCCTCCAGTCATCTGGGACATCCCCTGTTATCCAGTACTGTTGGTATATGATAGAGAAGGGCTTGGCGATTTCTTCTGTCAGCTCTCTCAGTATTCTTGGGTGAATCCCATCTGGCCCCATAGACTTTTGAGTGTCTAGGTGCTGCAACAGCTCTCTGACTGCATCCTTATGGATTATGGGGGGGTTGTTCTGCTCCCCAGTCTTACGTTCCTTCTCAGGAGGTTGAACACCCTGACAGCAGCTGGTCTGATGAATAAAGATGAAGGTGAAGAAGGCATTAAGTATTTCAGCCTCTTCTTCATCCTTGGTTGCCATGTTCCCCCTCTCATCCAATACGGGATGGATATTCTCCTTGGTTCTCTTTTTTGCTGTTAATGTATTTGTAAATTATTTTTTTTTATTGTCCTTGATGGTAGTGGCCAGGTTGACCTCAAAATGTGTTGTCCACACAAAGTTGTTTTCAAATTCCCTCCTGATTAAATGCTTAGTTTATAAAAAGTTTACACTGGAAGAAGTGGAGTAATGTTTGAACCTTATCCCTTATTTGTGGTCAGAGGGAACAGCTATTAGCATGTGTATTTTCAGAATTAAAAGGGATCTAGTATTTAATGCATGAACCAGCAATGTACATTTGTGAACTTGTGTAGTCAACACATCCCAACAAATCAGTTACTCTAAGGTAAGTAACTATTTTTCCAGATAAAATAAATCATGTTGTGACTAATAATCTTACATGAAAACTACTTCACTAAGTATGATACAGATACATTAACCTGATAATATTTGAAGCACATCTTCTATTCTTCAAGTGTGGCTCTTTTATTACTCTCTCTGCACTTTCTACTGTTTAATTTTGTTTGCTGCTTTGTTGTTTTTTTGTTGTGGTTCAGTTTGTTTTTTGTTTTCCTCTTTCTCCTTCTTGTTTTCCCATTTGTTTCTTATTGCTAGGAATGTCAAGCAATCCCCACTTTTGTCGTTTCTTTTATGAAATTTAAGGTAAGGGTACTGTGCTCCAGAGAAATGCTTAAATTGGACCTTTTGTGCGTACCTGTTTTTATCTGCACTTATTTTACTTTAGATGTTTGAATGGTTTTATGTACATTGGTTTGCAAGTCTTACATTGATCTTTCCAAAAAAGCAAATAGATTAATTTAGTGTGTTTAAGTCTATTTTCTTACCTGAGCTGGTAATTCTTAATTTTGCAAATAATTTAACAGAAATTGTACAGAAAAACAAGTCAACTTTCCTATAATAAATCACAGACTATGCTTTTGGTTTCCTTAAGTATACATATAAACATGAAAAAATATGATCTAGATTGGTGTTTCTGCTCATCTAATCTCATTTTAGATGGCTGCTTTTGTATGTATTTAGGTTTATAGAGTAGATGTTAGATTGTATTTGTGATTGTGTAAGTGATGCATGTGGACTGTGGGTTGGAAGTAGAGACCATTCATATGTAATTGCATGAGAAGTGCTGCTCCTTTTTTCAGATAAATTAAGAATATTTTTTTTTAATATATTTTTTAAATCATCTTGGATATTTACTTATAATTTTTTTAGTATTAACTAAGAGAAGTTCAGAAATCTAACATGGAGTATTTGAAAAGAACATTCAGAAGTGAAACCAGAAGACTACAAAAGTTACTATATTATGAAAGAAACAGGTGTCAGTGCAGTCAGTCAATAGTGTTTATAGTTTGGTCTGATCTATTTAATTACCTAAATTCCACACTAATGTGTGTGTGTTTTTTAATATATAAAGCCAGCCAGCCAGTTTTTAACGCAGCAGAGAGTGTACCTATCTGTGCCATGTGCCATCAGTTTCTCCAGGAGAATGCTGTGGGAGACTGTGTTGAAGGCCTTCCCAAAGTCCAATAGACAACATCTACAGCTCGTCCCTCATCCACCAGCCGGGTCACCTGATCACAGAAGGAGATCAGCTTGGTCAAGCAGGACCTGCCTTTCCTGGCCCCATGCTGGCTGGGCCTGATCCCATGTCTGTCCTGCGCTTGCCATGTAAGCACACTCAAGATGAGGCTCTCCATTATTTTCCCTGGTCCTAAGGTCAGATGACTGGCCTGTAGTTCCCAGGATCTTCCTTCATACTCTTTTTGTAGATGGCCATCACACTGGCAAGCCTCCAGTCATCTGGGACATCCCTTGTTATCCAGTACTGTTGGTATATGATAGAGAAGGGCTTGGCGATTTCTTCTGTCAGCTCTCTCAGTATTCTTGGGTGAATCCCATCTGGCCCCATAGACTTTTGAGTGTCTAGGTGCTGCAACAGCTCTCTGACTGCATCCTTATGGATTATGGGGGGGTTGTTCTGCTCCCCGGTCTTACGTTCCTTCTCAGGAGGTTGAACACCCTGACAGCAGCTGGTCTGATGAATAAAGATGAAGGTGAAGAAGGCATTAAGTATTTCAGCCTCTTCTTCATCCTTGGTTGCCATGTTCCCCCTCTCATCCAATACGGGATGGATATTCTCCTTGGTTCTCTTTTTTGCTGTTAATGTATTTGTAAATTATTTTTTTTTATTGTCCTTGATGGTAGTGGCCAGGTTGACCTCAAAATGTGTTGTCCACACAAAGTTGTTTTCAAATTCCCTCCTGATTAAATGCTTAGTTTATAAAAAGTTTACACTGGAAGAAGTGGAGTAATGTTTGAACCTTATCCCTTATTTGTGGTCAGAGGGAACAGCTATTAGCATGTGTATTTTCAGAATTAAAAGGGATCTAGTATTTAATGCATGAACCAGCAATGTACATTTGTGAACTTGTGTAGTCAACACATCCCAACAAATCAGTTACTCTAAGGTAAGTAACTATTTTTCCAGATAAAATAAATCATGTTGTGACTAATAATCTTACATGAAAACTACTTCACTAAGTATGATACAGATACATTAACCTGATAATATTTGAAGCACATCTTCTATTCTTCAAGTGTGGCTCTTTTATTACTCTCTCTGCACTTTCTACTGTTTAATTTTGTTTGCTACTTTGTTGTTTTTTTGTTGTGGTTCAGTTTGTTTTTTGTTTTCCTCTTTCTCCTTCTTGTTTTCCCATTTGTTTCTTATTGCTAGGAATGTCAAGCAATCCCCACTTTTGTCGTTTCTTTTATGAAATTTAAGGTAAGGGTACTGTGCTCCAGAGAAATGCTTAAATTGGACCTTTTGTGCGTACCTGTTTTTATCTGCACTTATTTTACTTTAGATGTTTGAATGGTTTTATGTACATTGGTTTGCAAGTCTTACATTGATCTTTCCAAAAAAGCAAATAGATTAATTTAGTGTGTTTAAGTCTATTTTCTTACCTGAGCTGGTAATTCTTAATTTTGCAAATAATTTAACAGAAATTGTACAGAAAAACAAGTCAACTTTCCTATAATAAATCACAGACTATGCTTTTGGTTTCCTTAAGTATACATATAAACATGAAAAAATATGATCTAGATTGGTGTTTCTGCTCATCTAATCTCATTTTAGATGGCTGCTTTTGTATGTATTTAGGTTTATAGAGTAGATGTTAGATTGTATTTGTGATTGTGTAAGTGATGCATGTGGACTGTGGGTTGGAAGTAGAGACCATTCATATGTAATTGCATGAGAAGTGCTGCTCCTTTTTTCAGATAAATTAAGAATATTTTTTTTTAATATATTTTTTAAATCATCTTGGATATTTACTTATAATTTTTTTAGTATTAACTAAGAGAAGTTCAGAAATCTAACATGGAGTATTTGAAAAGAACATTCAGAAGTGAAACCAGAAGACTACAAAAGTTACTATATTATGAAAGAAACAGGTGTCAGTGCAGTCAGTCAATAGTGTTTATAGTTTGGTCTGATCTATTTAATTACCTAAATTCCACACTAATGTGTGTGTGTTTTTTAATATATAAGCAATAGACTATTTTCAAGTTAGTATAATCAACAGTTCATCTCATATTACATATATATAACTAGTGATATGTGTTGAAGTGAAGATTAATACTGACAGCAGAATTATTCCTATCTTCTTGGTCAATTTAACTAAGTTTGGGCAACTTTAGTGGGACTTTTTTGTACAAGCTTAACCTACACAGCCCTGATGCATTGCTGCTTAATTTAGTGACTATTTGAAGTGTTAAAAGCTCTGAAAATGTCTTTACCTTGGTATAAATTAAACTACAGAGGAAGCATATTACTTCAAAGAAATCCTTCTGATGTAAAGTATTTTCTTGTGCTCGATGAGCAAGTAATTAAGAAGATAATCCTGTCACCTCCAACATCTTTATGCCAGCAGAGGTCCCTGATGTAAGAGGAATTTCCTGAGCAGCAGCTGCAAAAATAACTTCCTGAGCTCTTCCAGTGATTTGCTGTCTGCTTTTGCAGACAGACTTTAATAGCTCAACCCTGAAGATGATGCTTGGCTCAGCCTTTGCCAAGCATCTGTGATACTGATGTCAGTGAACATGTTTCAGTAACACGTATACATCCAGTAACACCTATATAAGCCAGAGTTTTCAAAAGAAAGAGCATAATTGATTTAATTGATGTATAAACATTTTTTAAAGGACTTGATTTTCTCAGCACATAGGCAATACAATAGTTCAACATTCCTGAAAACCAGGTTACTTAATTATATTTTACATTTAAAAGTTCATATTTGAAAATTCTATCCTGCCTGTGTCTGAGAATTTAAACAGTTCTGCTGATGTATAGTTGCATACTGAGAAGCCAACAAAGTACCAGTACATTTCTCATGTGACACAGATGTGTATTTTTAGCTCTTCCAAAACCAAAGTATTCTGTATTATGTAATTTTCAAATTAACTCTGGCAAATCAGTTAATAAAGTAATGGTTTGCCTTTGAGTCTAGGCTAAAAACTTTCTTCATAAATTTAAATTGTGCCCCCTCATCGTATCAGAATTTGGAAACACTTTTATCTATCTACCTTCTTTGATCTTCTTTGGCATTGAGTGTTCCAGTTCTGTTCATTTCTGCAAATCAGTCAATATTCATAGAATGGTGTCAGGATAAAGTAATACTTCTAAATGCTGTTTGGAAGTCACATGATAATAAGTCATTCTGGCTTAGATAAATTTAAAGAAATGTTATCAAAGATCAATGATCCTCATACTGGAGAAGGCACAAATAGTTATAAATATCCTAGATAACTTATTTGGCTATGCTGTAATTTGTATACTACTTCAAATGTGCAGGCATTAGAAAGTTTACATATCTGTAAGAATATGCTTTTGATTTTTTTCTTATCTTTTTTTTCTGAGAGTAAGAACCACTAGTAGGTAACCAAATTCTTGCTTAAAAATGATAGCTCATTAAACCTGGAGGCTGTCAGTGGTGGGTGCCCTGGTGTTTAAGAAAGTGAAACTTTTATGTCAGTTACCTAAACAGAGACTTTAAAATGCCTTTGTATAAACCAAGGACCACATAGGTGTGTTTGCAAGTGATAAGTGATGTGCTGAACTGGAAACCTGTGGAAATGCATGAATAAATAAATAGAATGCTTACCAGCATTAGGTTAGGTGGTTATTGAGGCACCTACATCTTCTGCAATTAAACAAATTAAAAAGAACAACAACAACAAAAAAAAACAACACAAAGAACAACAGTCTAAATTGTGTAGATAAGTAAATAAGTAACAGAATACTCAATACCACTTGTTAACTTTATCTTTTCACTTAATGTCAGAGAAAGGGTCTGTGATTTAAGAGAGGTGTGGCTGTTCCTGTATCATTTATCTTCAAATACTGAAGAGGTGTTCTTGATCCCAGTGGTATTCTATTTAAAAAATATTTTATTTGACCCAGTTTTAGCTATTATTAATTGTGTAAGCTATGCTAACATGAATCTTGCAAAATACTTAGTTTGCTCACATTGCTGTATGAATAGTTGCAGCCACAGAGATGCTCTTGTAAAGTCTTACCTTAACAAGGTGCTTCTCAGCAACAATAATGTGAACCATTGAGGAATAAAAGCCAGTTTTACAAAACTGAATTTATAGTGTGAACTAAAAGTAATACACAATATTCTGGCACACTTATTCCCTTCCTGACTTCAATCATATCTTATTTAAAGTTTCAGCTAGTAGGATTGTTATGGGACTTTGAATCCATTAAGATGCATAGTTTAGTTTTGCCTTTATAGAACTGACAGCTAAATACTAATAGAGAGCCCAGGAGCCTCTTTAAAGTTGTAACTTCTAATGAATGAGTGCATTTAATACTAAAAATCTTTTATTTTTTTTTTCTGGCTGAATGAGTTAATTTTCTCTATATTCTTCTACTAAGAGGGCAGTACTCCTCACTTTGCTGTTTACCTTAAAGATTCCCGATGTTATTTTTACACACACAAAGCCAACTGTCAGACCAGAAGAGTAGGAATTTTATTCTCCTCTATATATAAATGGTTTGAAAAGTTGGAAGCAATACTTCTGGCTTCTTGGGATACTATCTGCAGTCGAGGAAATGCCAGCATTACAAATTAAAGAATCTCAGAATCGTTTGGGATGGAAAAGACCTTCAAGTTCATCAAGTTCAACCATAACCTAACTCGACCAAGTCCGGTGTTTAAACCATGCTCCTAAGCACCACATCTTTTAAACACTTCCAGAGATGCTGATTCAACCATCTTGCTGGGCAGCCTATTCTGGTGTTGTATTACCCTGTCAGTGAAGAATTTTCTTCTAATATCTAGTCTAAACCTCCCCTGGTGCAGCTTGAGCCCTTTTTTACTTCTTTATCAACCATCTTGATGAGGAGATAGAATGCACCCTCAGAAAGTTTTCAGATGACACCAATTTGGGAGGAAGTGTTGATCTGCCTGAGGGTAGGGAGGCTCTACAGAGAGACTTGGACAGGCTAAATTGATGGGCCAAAGTCAATTGTATGAGGTTCAACAAAGCCAAGTGCTGGGTCCTGCACTTGAGCCACAACAACCCCATGAAATGCTACAGACTTGGAGAAGAGTGTCTGGAAAGCTGTCCAGCAGAAAGGGACCTGGGGTTCTGATTGATAGGTGACTGAATATGAGCCAGCAGTGTGCCCAGATGGCCACGAAAGCCAATGGCATCCTGGCCTGTATTAGAAATAGTGTGGCCATCAGGACCAGGGAGGTGATCGTCCCTCTGTACTTGGCATTAGTGAGGCCACAACTCGAATACTGTGTCCAGTTTTGGGCACCTCAACAGAGGAAGACACTGAGGTTCTGGAGTGTGTCCGAAGAAGAGCAACAAAGCTGGTGAAGGGCCTTGAGAACAAGTCTTTTGAGTAGTGGCTACAGGAACTGGGGCTATTTAGTATAAAGAAAAGGAGGCTGAGGGAAGACTTCATTGCCCTCTCCAACTACCTGAGAGGAAGGACTTTGTAAAGAGGTAGGGGCTGGTCTCTTCTCACCAGCAACTGGTGATAGAACAAGAAGGAACGGTCTCAAGCTGCACCAGGAGAGGTTTAGACTAGACATTAGGAGGAACTTTTTCACTGAAAGCATGGTCAGACATTGAAACATGCTGCCCAGCAAGGTGGTTGAGTCACCATCCCTGGATATGTTTAAAAGTTCACTAGATGTGGCACTTGGGAATATGGCTTAGTGCTGGATTGGTAGAGTATGGCTGATGGTTGGACTCAATGATCTTGGAGGTCTTTTCCAACCTTGGTGATTCCATTATTTGCTCTTGTCTTGGAGCTGGGAAATTTCATATGTATCATATACTGTTTCTCAGATACCAGCTTTTGGTGAGAGTCAGAAGACAGGAGCATGAGCTCTAGTGAACTTTGTTCCAACACAGCTGCTCTAATATCATGTTAACCTTACTGCAACTAACCAGCTAAGAATTTACCTAGTGAGCTAACATACATAGCAGCTGTGTTATTTGCAGAATCTGTTGTGCAAATTCTGTCCAACCAACTGCTGCTGTTTTGAGTGGAAGATCAGTAAGAGAATTAGGAGGGTTTCTTTCCCATCTGAGGATCCTGTCCTTTCCTACACTGAAATGAAGCAACAACTCTATGCTTTTAAAATTCCTAAGGGAAGTTGTATTTTATGCATTTGAGGCAGTTTGCAATGAAAGAACCGTGACTGGCTCCTTTCCCAGGTTAGGATATTTTCTTAAAAGAAAGTACTTTTTTTCTTATAGACAGTGTCTTTTCTTTTTTATCAAGTGGTCTTGTTTTTCTTCTCTCATATAGTGCTTGAAAATTAATCATTCATTTTAGGTGATTAACTCATACAATGTGGTGTTGCATTTGTTTGCCACAATAAATCTGTTTCTGACAAATTTTACAGTAATATGGATTCTTTGGTTTGAAAGAGTAGCTTCTGATTAACAGCCAGCACATATGGTTCATTGGTTGGAAATCTGGGATGGAAACTTATATTCTACTTGGTTAGCTGCTTACACAGTGCACAAAAACCCCCTTCTGTTACCTGCTAACCTTCTCATATAAAATGCTCACAGACCTGAGATTTCCTGTTAGTTGTTTTTTTTTTTCTGGTCACTGCCAGGTAACTGAATTCTGCAGAGAAATCTGCAGTCTTGAAAAGCAAAAGTGCCATGACAGACTGAAGTGTTAAAGCAAAACTGTAAAACAAATATGCTGTTCTTCAATGCCATAAAATGGCATGGAAGGAAAAGAAACTGAATACAAATGGATTTTATTTATTTATTTCTATTTACCTTGTTAAAACATCCTCTATCAAAATACGTTGCCAACTTCTGAACTTGAATCTTGATGTCAAATACCTTTTTTTTTTAAATTGTCCAGCAATAACAAATCAGATAATAAAATTGTAGAAAAAGATGATAAAATCCTCTCCTGGCTCAGTTCAATTAAGTTTTACTGAAAATTGACTGCACATATGTGGAAGGTTGCAATTAGCTTTTGAGGCATATTTAAAGGACTTTGTGTAAATTTAACATCAGATGAGAGCTGCGAGTGATATCTCTGGCACTGAAATGTCCCAAACGGTCATTATTTCACCACTGTAAGACTCATGTCTAGCTGCTGAGCTCTCCTTTTATACTCAGTAAGCGCTTTTCAGTTAGACTGTGTGAAGATAAGTGATGAGAGAATTTGCCCCAGATGTCCCATTGGCTTTCAGTACAACTGATGACCGTGACATGCTAGAGAGCTGTTAATTTCTGGACTATATCTGACACTTCTACTAATAGGCTGCAATGTTTTTCTGTGTGTGGTTGTACTAAATCATAGAAGGAAGACAGACTGATGTTGAGAGAGCTAAAAGTGTGGACAGAACAATTTGAAAGAGACTTAGCCCGAGCACAGGTGGCAGAAACAAGCTTACAAGAGAAATACCAGGTAAGCAGTAGGGATACTTTTGTATGATGAGACATTATAATAATCATTATTTGTGACATGTATTGCAGTATTTTATGCAATGTGAGTATTTGCAAATCAATATTCTGTAATTTAGAGAAATAAGGACACAAACAATCTTACCTTTTATTGGTAGAGGAATTATAATGTCAGCTCCAGCTTTGCTACATACAACAGTGCACAGATGGTTTGCTTAACAGAGAGCTTTTTCAAGCAGTGTGAAGAAGGACTGTCCTAGTTAGAAGTGAGCATGTGTCTGTACACTCGATCCAGATTCTGTATGATAGAGCTCAAATGGGAGGTATGACTGAAGGCTGAAGGAGGTGACAGGTGGAGAGGACAGGGCTTAGAGCTTCATTTTTAACCCCTTTGTCAAAAGTTAATATCTAATTTGGCATATTAATTTTGGCCTAAATTTTCTCTCGGTGATCAGCTGTTCTCTAAAAATAGCTACTATCTGTCCCCAGTAATCTTTAATTCATTTGCTTGTTTATTTGATCAATTACAATTACGTTTCGTATAGAATTTAGACGTCTCATAACTGAAGGGAAATACAGAGCTCTTACCCATATATTCCTGGAGGATTCTCCAGTCTACCAAAATATTTAAGTGCATTTCAGTGTAAATATACAAGTACTGCTTGCTTCTCTTCGGCAAGGATTAGGATTTCTATCAGTACAAAATTGTCGTAGATTGTACTACTCCATAGGTGCTGAAGAATTCCATTCTCTGACTGTACTACATTGATTTGATTTTCTGTTTGTGCAGTCATTTAAGCATTTCAGAGTACAATATGAGGTAAAAAGGAAACAGATTGAACTTGTAACCCAGTCATTAAGGAAAGATGGTAAATTATCACTTGATCAAGCTATGGTGAAGCAGGCATGGGACAGAGTTTCTTCCAGGGTAAGTTGCAAATTGTTATGCTGTGTGAGTTTTATTAAATGAGTGATGAAAATGTAAAATCATTTAGACACTTCTTTCGTATTGATTTTACTAGGCATTAGGAACCTAAAAAAGGACCAAATTTCTAGCACTGTTAAATTATTTTGCATTTCTTTTGACAACATTTACCGTACTATAATCTTTATTACTGCTTGAAGATGGAATATGAACTTTAAGAAAAGCACTGTATTTCAAAGTTTCCTTTTATTTGAAAGTGTGCCAACAGTGATTAGCCAAGTTCAAAACTTGTTGATAAAAAAACCTGCACAATGTCCCTTCCAAATACAGTGATTTAATGTAAATTGTTAGTTATCTGAGAAATTATAATACCACTTTTTAATATAACTTGTAAAAGTTTCTGTGTAGTACTGAATACTTTATCAATTAATGAGGCTTTAATGTTATTTTTTTACCTGATTGAAGTAGTAATAACTTATTAGTAGCATTAGTGATAGTAATTTTGGAATAATTGAATGAAAAATCCCAAGTGGATTATATTGCTTGTCGCAAATAAGAAGTTATTGAATCATTACTGCTTAATGTATATTAATGGAATTTTTTTATGTTATATATTTAACAGAACATATTTTTTTAAATATTCTGGAGTTTTGAAGTAAATTTTATTAGTTTACACTCCCATAACTGGGATTGCCAATAAGACACAGCATTTTACTGCTATATTCTCAGCTCCCCACTCCTTTGTGAGTCCTTTGGATGTTACACTTAGAAAAAATGTTCAAAATAGAGATTAGAAGATTTTGTGCAAGAGCATGACATAAATTACACTGGGTGGAAGAAGGTCTCACATCCCTTGCTATGCCTATTAACTAAGAAAATTCCAGACTTTAGCTTATCAGTTCTAGTTTATATCTGGTCAGTTCAGTACATGGATTTATTGTTCTGGAAGGGAAATCATGAATCAGTAAATCCTTACGGAGACTTTGTTGCTGTGAGATTGCTATTATTTCAGAACTAATGTGGAGCAATATACCTAGGTTTATGTCTCAAACATGCACTGTTATGTGGGGGCTTGGTCTTACAGTATAAAGTCTGACTTTTCTTGAGGTACTTTTTGCTATAATGAAATAAGGAAGGAAGTTCAATTCTCTTTTTTTTTTGTTCCCTAGCTACTTGATTGGCACATACACCTTGATAAATCTCTTCCTGCACCTTTGGGTACCATAGGTGCTTGGCTCTATAGAGCAGAGGCTGCTCTGAGGGAAGAAGTAACTGTTCAGCAAGCTCATGAGGAAACAGCCAATGTCATACACCGGAAGCTTGAACAACATAAGGTAGATCTGCATGCATTCTTTTTGTGAATTTATTCCATAGTTTCCAAAGCTGCAAATAATCCATACTATACAAGGTTATTATTTCCAGTTTCTGTGGGTGATCTCATCATTTAGTGATGACTTGAACTGTGTTATCTGTGTATTTTACAAGCAATATCCAAAATTGCTTCTGAATGCTTCTATCTGAAATATACCAGTTATCATATTTTAATTATTCCACTATTCTAGGATTTCTGTTGGGTAAAATTCCATAGGGAGCACATAAATTGTTGGGTGCATTGAACAATCAATATGAACTTAACAGGTGAAGAAGGAGAGAGAAAGCAAACAGACTGAGTGTGCTGATAGGCACTGCGGAGGATATGCACTAGGGGAAACACAGAATGAAGTTAATTTTCATAGTGTTGTGATGGCAAGTAACATGAGAAGTCTCCTCTGTTGTGCTAAACTGGAAACTTCCTCAGATTACTTTAAATACCTTTGCCAGTATTCTTTGCTGAGTCCAAGATCTCATTTAAAATCAAATATGTGAGGTTTGCTTGTGCATTTATGTAATATATATGAGAAAAATATAGGCAGAAATTATTGATGAGATGATAAAACAAACTGAATCAGTAAATAAGACAGAGAAAGGACGAAGATGGTGTAGACAAAGGATGCACTTGTGGCAGTGCAGTTGTATTTTATATTGCTTTTTTCCTCGATCACTACTTCTGATACTTATGAGACTACTTGACTGTAGTTACATTATTTTTTTGTGTTTGGGCTGCCGATGGGGTATTTTATGAAAAAGTAATGCTACATAATTAAAAGCTGGCAAGTTTCATGGCCATATTGGAACAGCTTTGGCAGACAATGGCAGTTTATCTAGAAGATCAGTTGGGTCTTCTCATTACTCTTTAACAGAACAGTGGCAACTCTTCTAACTTAAGTGATGGCTAATAAAATTTAACCAAAACACTATTAAAATCTGTGAGGATAGTATAGTTTTCTTTCAAAGTCTAGTGTCTTCTAACACTAAATTACCTTTCTTGTTAAAATTAACTGTTTCAGGACTCATAAGATTTGACATTTGTTTTAAAAAAACAAGTCAAATACTTTTTTTGTTCATGTAATGTGAACACTATAGAACTCCTTTTGATACATTCATCAGAAATACAAAAGAGTGTGTCTTAAATTGTTTTTAATTTGCATCAGAAATGTCATGGTGAGGAATTTCTACACCAACAAATAAACTTTGATGTAGGTTAGTTTGTGCCACAGGAGTTTTCCCATAGGAATGGGATGGGAAAAGCTTCAGGAAAGGCATGTGCAATTATATCTGTTCCTGGAGTTTTTTTTTGTCAGATTTGCATTGATGAATCCTAATGTGCTATTGGACAGTACCAGAAATGCATTAGTGGCTTTGGTTTTTTTCAGTCCTTGTTTCCTATGAAGTTGATGGGCTTTGTTTGTTATGCATTTGCTCAGATTACATTATCACTTTCTCTATTGCTTCATCTCATCTGACAATGGATTATTTCTGTGAACTTTATAGCTCATGGCCATTTTGAAATGAATACAAAACATACCAACTTATTTGGACAAACCATGGAATCAGTCAAGCAAATACGTTTATTTTAATTATTATCACCACTAAGATCCAGAATTAAGAACAATGTCTGTGCTTGTTGAGGGTCATTTTGCAGAGCAGTATTTCAGTTAATGAGAACACCGTGTAAATGTTTTCATGGGCTTCCAGTTGACGTTGGATGAAATTACTGGGTTTAATTTTGACTTACCAAGGCATGTAAGGGGCATCCCTGTTTATCTGGCAAGGTCTCAAGTACAGCTAGCTGAGATATTTGTTCCATGTCTGTCCTCTATGTGAGAATATGTTAGTCACAAGATACACTCACTGGATTTTTTGCCATAATAAAGTCAGAGCAACACTAGTGTTGGAGAGAGCCTAGTTCAGTTCCTTTCACAACAAGCTGTTGGATGAAGTGGAAAATAATGAATATATAGTTGGATCAATGGGGGTGGTGGGACCCTTGGTGAGCTGAGCCAGTGAATTACCATTAATTTCTGCTGTGCAAACACTGGCTGTTGAATGCAGCTAAACCCTTCTTCACCAAACAGAAATAAATAGACATCTGTGATCAATAGGCACACCTGCATTTTGTTCCCTCAGGTGAGAAAAGTGCCCTTTTCCTTTGCTAACAGGCTTCTGAGCACTTTGTGCCAGGAGGTGTCTGTATGCAGTAAAATATCCACTGTTCTGTGTCCTCTCAGCCGCTGGGGACTTGCCGTGTTATTGTTACAGCATCTCTTCAAAGAGCACTGCCAGTCACTCATTTTAATGTGTAATCTCCAGGAAGCCGTTGGAAGCGGTGTTGCTTAGTTACAGTTGAAATGTGCTCTGCTGCAAGGTTTTAGCTGCTACGGTTTCTATCACAGGAACACAGGTCTGGTACCACATTCTGCGTCTATTTGTGTAATGTAGAGAGTGCAATCCTGGTATCTTTTGATGCTGAGTGAAAAGTTCACTACATACTGAATATGTACTTACATCAGGAGCTATGGATCTTCTGCCTTTTTGTAGCGGAGTAGATTAGTTGCTGAAAATTTGAATCTATATCTAATTAAGGTTAGTATCTGTTGTAAATATATACAGAGTAAATTTAGCAAGATTGTGCTGTTATGATGTTGGGATATTTGCAGGCTGCATTTCCGGAATTATTTAATATAGTTAAGAGTTCTTGTTTTGTTAAACCTTTGCACAGTGTATCCTCTGTTTTAAAATCTTTCATTAATTGTTAGACACCGCTTTAGCAGAGCGTCTTCTGTGGGAGTTCCCTGTGTAAATATTCAAGTAGATGTAAATGCTTTTGTGATATACATAATCTTGCATGCAAATGTGAGAGCATGATCAAGTAGTTAACTATATTGAGTCATGAATGCAGGCTTAAAATTGTGCTTATTAGTTAGATAGCCTACTGTGAGCCTTCTCTCTCCCTCTCCCTCTCTCCCCACCCTGCCCCCACCTCACTCTCTCAATCTCTCTCTCTTTCCTCTCTTTTTTGAAATCAAAACAGGATCTGCTGAAAAACATAGATGGTCACAAAAAGGCATTCCATGAGATCCACCGGGCCAGGTCAGTTAACGGAGTGCCTGTTCCACATGACCAATTAGAAGACATGGCAGAGAGGTAAGGCTTTCAATCTGAAATAAAAACCCTCTATGAATGAAAGGGACTCAATTTGCTTTTTAATCTTGTCATGTAGAAATCATTGTCTAATTATGTTTCTGAGTGGAAATTGTGAAAAATTTGGAAGGAAAAACCTTGTAGAATATACATAAAATACACTGAAAAGCCCAATATATTAAAGATTGCTGAGAATCAAAATAAGCTATGGGTTTTAGAAGGGAATACTATTTTATATTGATCCTGTTCTTACTTATGCCTTGAAGAAATGTTATGTAACAACAACCGGGATGCATGTGAAAAAAAAGAGAAGAAAAATGACTTTGCAAAACTTAGTAACAGATATAAACTGACTATTCCTATGAATTAACAAAAATGTAATTAATTTGCTATGCAAGAGTAGTCATCCCAATGATAATAATTAAATCTTTGTAGGTTCTGGATTAAGTGAAAGTTTAGAAACATACCTTCACTCTAACTAAACCTTTCAGTCTCTCCTACAAAAATGAATATTGCTGTATTTTACTAAAGTGTGATTCATTTCATAGGTTTAATTTTGTTGTCTCTTCATCTGAGCTCCATCTGTTGAAGATGGAGTTTCTGGAACTGAAGTACCGCCTACTGTCACTCCTAGTCCTTGCAGAATCAAAGTTAAAATCGTGGATTATCAAATATGGAAGGCGGGAGTCAGTGGAACTACTTCTTCAAAATTATATTGTAAGATGGTGTTATCTTCTTATTTTTTAATTATTTTTTAAATAGTCATATTTAAGATTTCTGGGAGTGACTAAAATAGCAGTAACAAAAATTAGGCTTGCCAGTCATCAACTTTATGATTCCATTCTTATGGAATATCTTTTTAGAGTTGAATCTGTATTCCCCATAGTCTTTAGTCAGAAGGCTAAAAATGAAAAGTATTCTCTTTGCACTATCTCTTCAAAAACACTTGGACATTTAGCAGCTAGGACATTGCTTCTATCAATTTACCAAGGATATCCAGAGGTTCCAAATCCTAGATTTTTACTTACCTTTGATATCAGTTCCATGGAGTCATAGAATCATAAAATGGTAATGGTTGGAAGGGACCTTCATCTTTTACAAGTGCATAGATGCATTTTTTAGTAACTACAAATAGATTAAGTGTAGAGATAGAGAAGGATTTTGGCATGCAGTGCTCCACAGTATTTTTTTTTAAGTCCTCTAAGGGGAAAAAAAAAAAAAAAAAAAAAAAGGTTATGCTGCCTGTGTATGTACTTATTCAGTATGCTATACTGACAGGGGAATCATTTTGTTATTAAAAAAAAATGTTTTTACTTCTCCTGCTCAGCATTAGTTTATTAGATCCATTACTTCATTTCTGTTCCGGAAAGAGATTGCTCCAGCTCTTCATCATCCATAGAACATGCTAAAAAACAGAGGCTATTGGATTATTTTTACTCATTTGATTTATTATTCCTCACTGATATGTTCCCTTTCAGTCTATGCTTCTGTGTTTTGTTAAATCCACACTTGCAGTGTCAAGTGGCTAGTAAAATGGTAAACAAGGCTGGGATAAATAATTTTTCCCCTTCTATCTAATCCATGTGAGGAAAATTGGACAGGAACATTCCGATTGGAAGGAATACAGCTAAAGAACCATTCAGAGCCAGGACACGGTGCAGAGGAAATTACTGATGAACCCAACAGACTGATAGTTTTTATTGCTTTGGAAGCAAACTTCAAACTCAATCAAGTTCTTCTACAAAGTGACAATTAGAGCCTGTTCACACTTCTCCCTTTCTATGTTTAAATTTTAGCAGTTAGGGACACATAAAAAAACAGGAGTTAAGCCTTGTTTTAGACAAACTTGGCAAAATTCAGATGGTTATTTAAGATAGCATAGTTTGCTAGAGTGACATCCAATAGCTAGGAGTTATAGCCCATTTGGATACTCTGTGAGACTGTCAAAAAAAACTAGCAAAAGGTGACAAGGGAAACAGTGAGGAAGTGGATAGCTGGACTTTTAGAATTATGCTACGTTATCAATTATACATAGCAATTATGCTACATTAGTTAATTATTTTTTTCTTTAAAATTAACATCAAGTGGTGAATTTGTATGTGTGTTGGGTTTTTTTGCAATTGCCTCAATTATTTTTGTGCTTCAGTCCACTAATGCTGTGATGGGCATTAGGGGAAGGTGCTTCCTTCCATCATTTATGAAACTACATCACTTTAAAATGAGTAGATTGGAGCAAGATTATAAACAGAGTTGTTCCATTCCTGATGGCCTTGACTTCTAGCTCCTTCCAGCTCTCCAGTAATGGAAAAAAGACTTTCTTTGCTTTGGCTTACCTGAGAAGAATTTTCTAGGACCAAGAGTCAAGTGTTATTCTTCCAGTAAATTAGGAATCTTAATGTAGGAAGCCTGTAATAAGTAACTTATAGTCAGTGACTATATTAGTAGGAGCTAAAAATGTTGCTTGTCTGCCAAAGTAGGCTGAGCAATGTAAGCATTCTACATGTGTAGTTAGGATCTGGATAAGAACATATGCCGGGAAAATATTTATCTACTGTGCTTAAAAATGAAAGTGGTGGTTTTTACTTTATCCCATCTTCTTTTCAGTTGTCTGTCGTATAAAACCATTGTATGATTCTACAACAGAGGCAAAGAGAGCATAATTTGTACAACATCAACCTAAAGAATATACTGTACCAGTGTCTCAGCTGTAATGGAGATACTGGGTACAATTATCCCTGCATTTTAGCCCACAGAACTATGTTCTGGCATTGCTTATTAGCACTGAATGCTGTGTGTATTTAGGAAAAGCTACATATTTTCTTTAAGAGATCTTATCAGATGGGAGACAATATTAATGAGCTAAGGGTCTACAATTTTTAAAATTATTTCCAAATGACTCCTGAGATCAGTATTATATAAGTACTGTGATACAGTCTTTTACTTTCTCATATGAAGTCTTGCAGCTTTTGGTTCAGGGTAAAATGTCTATGTGTATGGGTCTGACAAAAGTGAAAATTAGGAGTGTGTCACATAATTTATGGAAAAGCATGTACTTTATACATGCTTGATATTTTTTTCACAGTACAGTAAATAAAAAAAAATCATTGTGCTTGATGTCTAGTTTATTTGGTTGTAAACATATTTCTAATTATGTTCTAGATAACTCTGGTGATTCAACATGGCAACAGTAAAAGGTTTAAAAATAGAAAATATTTATATATATACTGGCTGGCAGATTATTTTATAAAACTGTTTTTCATGTTTATACAATGTGGGTTGACAAATACACAAAATCTGATTCTCCTTTTCAAAGTACATTGAACTTTGACCTCCTTTGAAACTTGGTTTTATCAAAATCACACTAGTACACGTAGAATTTTTTCTGACATTTCAAGTGTGTAGACATGTGTGATAAGTACTTGCCTTAATTTTTGTAGATCTATATCTGAGGAGGCATGGGAGGTACTATAAGTTATAAAACCTTTCCAGAACTCTAGATAAATTAAACTAGGTAAGGGAATACAAAAGCCCTGTAAAAAAACAAAAAAAAACAAAACAAAAAAAAAAGTTTTTCTCCCTTTTTTAACAGTAGTACTGCAAGATGTAATATGCTTTCATAATATGGAGACATAATTATATATCACACTTGAAGTAACATTTCTGAAAGGCATTCAAAAAAAGATTGTGTTATTTGCCATAAAGGATAAACAGGCAGAAATTATAAAAAAAACCATAACTTAGTTGCAGATAAATTATTCATCTCACGGTAACACATTCCACAAATATAAAATTACTGACAAAAGAAAAGCAGCATCCCTTTGTGCAGTGTTTCCTTAGTCTTATTTTTACCATTTACAAAGGAGGCAAAGGGAAGCTGAAGGCCAAGTTAAGGCTTGATATGGAAGCATTTTTTAAAGTTTAACTGGATTTATTTTTTTTGTGGTGATCTAGATGGATTAAATTTTCTCTTATTACAAAGATTCCACCTACATTTTAATGTAAAACATTTCCATTAGATAACTTTTAATTTAATTGCTTGGTTTCTGCATATTAAAAGAATCCTATGCTGGTGAGTTTCAGCAAGTCAGCAACTAGCAGATTAAGAACATATTAAATAATCCTTCCATATGCAAAGTAAATAAACTGTATTTATAGGGAGATTCTGCTGTACTATTAATTTGAAAAGATGAAGTATTTATATTATTTTATAATAATGAAAACATTACTGAAGTGATAACGCAGTTAAAAGTTATAATCACTGTACTGGTTTAATTTAATGTAAATTAAGCTTATTCTTAAAATCTATCTTTAATCTGTTTTATTTTGTTTGTTTGTTTGTTTGTTTGTTTTCAGGCTGTTATTGAAAATAGTAAGTTCTTTGAGCAGTATGAAGTTACTTACCAGGTCCTGAAAAGAGCAGCTGAAATGTATACCAAAGCAAACGGCTCAGGTAAATGCCAATGTTTCTTTGTCATGGGGACACCATTTTTACCTCTTTAGACATAAGTATCCTCTAAAAAGATCTCCTAATATTTGTTTCTCCCAATCAGAGCTGTACAGCAGCTGCAGCTCACCTGAGTGTCATCAGCCTCTAGGAATAATTTCACAGGTTCCCCAGCAAGAAGCCAGCTCTTATGGACCAGCCTGCCCTCCTGCTGTAGAGATTCCTTAATCTCCAGAAGAGGGTGGTCATGTTCAGACTTCCTAATAAGACAAGTTAATCGTCCAGGCTAACTTCTGGGTTGTTTCAGTGTTGTTGATTTGGGCCAGAAATGTGCCAAAGACCAAATTAGGAGTAGGGAGATCATGTACTGATGCCTGAAAGTACTCCCTGGCTTGTCTTCATTTACTAGAAAAGGGCAAATAGAGAGTTTGTCCCAGTATTGTTGTAGTACAAAAGTATCCCTGATTTACAGGAGATCCTTTATTAACTGTGAAACCTATAAAGGGACCCAAATGATAGTTGACATATGGATATATATATGAGGAAAATGTGTAACGGATTCAGTAGCTGCCTCCTGTGATTCCTGAACGCTGATGAGTTCAGTGAGAATGCATGAGGGCAATATTTGACCTAGATTGTTATAGTCATGAGATCACTTTAATCTCTGCTGAGGAGATAACACAGTAAAGTCAGCGGAGGATTGATGCAGCTTCTAAAGTGGGTAGCAGATGTGGAGAGAAAATGGATATCCTTTTTTGTTGTGAAATTTAACATAAAGACAGTGACTTTTTTTTTTCTCAAGAGTAAACTTTTTAAAAACGTATTCTTACACTGAATGAAATGAATAGATTTATTCAATGGTATTTAAAAAATCCGGTAGCAAATTATCTTCTGAAGGGCAGCTAATTATATTAACAGCACAAATTAGGGGACACCTTAGCTAAAGATTTTTTTTGATTATCTGTATTCTGCTTGTTTTATGAATTCTCAGGATTTGCTTGGTTCCTTTTCCTTAACTCTGTTTTTTCTTTCTGGAATACAAACACAATTGTTCTTTTATTGTCATGAGCAAAATACTAAAAATTAAATGGCAAAAATAAGTAGCAATTTAGTTTTTAAACTCTTTAGAAGGAAGATCAGCATTTCATTCGGTATTTTTCAATGAAGATATAATATGTGTTTGTACATTATATATCTCATTTTTGTATCTTTTATTATAGATTGGAAATTAACATAACACTGAATATGCTGTGTAACTTTTAATACAGCACCAATCTTATGTACTTCCCTTGGTCTTTAATTCACATTTAATTTCTCAGTCTTAATTTTACACTAATATTGCGCTGTCAACTGAGCATACGTATATAAAAGCCTACTGAAAGTCGCAGTAATTCCCTAACAGCTAATTAAGCTTTACAGAAATAAAGATGAATCAAAATAATCAGAGTCTTTTCTTTATCTCAGTGGAAGAAATTGAGAATGTGACAAAATTCATGAGTGAAACAACAGCACAGTGGAGGAACCTCTCAGTAGAGGTGAGAAGTGTGAGAAGCATGTTGGAAGAAGTCATTGCTAATTGGGACAGATATAGCAGCACTGTGTCAGGTTTACAAGTTTGGCTGGAAGATGCTGAAAAGATGCTAAATCAACCTGAACAGTCTAAAAAGGTATGTGCTAATAGCAGATGTATCTGGCTGTTTTGTAAATAAAATGGAACATGGAATATGTTTTTGCATGCGCTTAGGTTATTTTACAAAATGCCCTATAAGAGGGAGAGATTTTTTTCAGTTTCTGGCATACTGATTACATTCACCACAGATGTTTCAATGTTTGCTCCTGTACAGACATACTCCTTGCTCAATGTACAGACATGCACATATACACACAATGAAGGAAGGTCACCTGTCAACTTTGTTAGAGGCATCTTTGACATGAATATAGTGCAGCAGTATTGCTCAGTGGTAGGAATAGTACATGACTCTCTTAAAGACAAATACAGCTCTCAATATCAATATGCTGCCCCTTATTAATATGTGTTCTTAGGTTTGTTGGGTAAGTAATTAATCCATTTCCCTGGAATTTTAGAAATTTTGTAGACTGTTCCTCTGGGGACCTTTAGTCATAGTTTCGTTATTTTCATTTTTTTTTTCTGTTATCGTATTAGACTACTGAATCACTAAAATTTATGTTTGTGAAACTTCAATAATTACCCAGATTTACTGGTACAATACTGCATTTAACAGATGCTGTGTTTTCACTGACTCCTAATGTAGCAGCTAGAAACCTCTTAAAACCAAAGTAAGGTTTTCATAGGTTGTCAGATGGCAAACTGAAATTAAGTCTGAAATAAGCATTTCGCATTACATGACAGAACAGAATAGTTTTTTATAAAAGTTTGGTTTAAATTGATGTAAAAGAATATAATACAGTTCTAAAATAAAAATAAACCTGTACAAAGGATTGAGTAGTCTGCCATGATATAGATACCAACAGTTGTTATTACTGAGGAAGAAGGATGACCTCAACTGATCAGGTTCTTCTTAGTTCCTTGTGTACATTTTATGCAAGTAACTTGGCAGTGTTTAAAATGAAATGATCTTATTTCCATATATATGAGTAAAATAGAAATATTTACTTCTCTGCTCAGTTTTATAACTTTACTTTTGAAGGTTTTCAAAGCAGAGATCAGATCATATCCATACAGTATATACTTGCTTTGGATTCCTAATGTAAATCTAAAAAGTATTTCTTACCTTTTTGACACATTAAAAGTTTAAAAAACCCTTGTTGACAAACTTAGACATGGAAGCATTATTCTTCCCAAAATGCTAAATTCTTCTTAAAATTACACTGGCTCAAACCTGTTGAAGGGGAAAATTGAGAGGAAATGTAATCCTGCCAAGAAGACAGTGATAGGACAAGGGGTAATGGTTTTAAACTGAGAGGGGAGATTTAGGTTAGATATTAGGGAGAAATTCTTCACTATAAGGGTGGTGAGGTACTGGAATGAGTTGCCCTGGGAGGTTGTTGATGCCTCGTCCTGGCAGGTTGGATGAGGTTTTGTGCAACCTGATCGAGTGGTAGCGTTCCCTGCTCATGGCAGGGGGATTAGAAGTTGACAGTCTTTAAGGTCCCTTCCAACCTTAATGATTCTGTGATTCTATGAAATTACTCCTAATATTATTGTTGGGTCTAGCACTCCACAACAATAATGTTCACTTAGTTCCAAGGATAGATCTGATTAGAAGTTTTAATATTTGATCATTAAAACTAAAAGCAATACTTATATTGTTTTGTACAATTAATAGTCATAGAGCCATCGGCACAAGCATCTGAAATCCCAGGTGAAAGATGATAACTGTTGCTTGGAATATGGCATAAACATTCTTTTAAACATTTCCAAATATTTGTTCTGTAAAACAACAAACATATCAGGGTTATGATACAAAGATTTCATTTATGCTCATTTGCAAACCTTACCTGCATTACTAAAACCTGTTGTATTGTATCCTAGTCAAAGACCATAGTAGCTCCTTACCTTGCTGTGATGCTTTCTTCTTTGCCTTATCTCTAAATGATTTCAAGACAGAAAGTGCCACTGCAGTTTTTGTAAAATAAAGTGACACTTTGGCTTTGTTTATTTTGTTTTGTTTACTAATACCTCTGTAGTCATAGTTCCTGGAAATACCTGTCTTAGGAGCAATTGTCCATCCTCTGGAACAGCAAAAAGGAATGGAGGGAGTTGTCTTCTCTACCAATTTATGTGTGTGTACCCATCTACAAGATTCACAGAAGCATTTGGCACTATGGCTGGGCTATTTAGGCAGTCTTAATGGAAAAAAGGGAAAACATCAGTGACAACCATCCTTTTCCCCTCCCTACTCACCTACTCTGAGATATGAGGAAGCCACGATGAAGAACCAATCTTCTCAGGTCTTCTGGGATGCCATACTATGGAAAGCAGTATAGTATTCACACTAGGTGAAGAATCATTCTACTGTCTGTGTATGGCCCGGGTTACGATCAGCCTACACTGTTTCAAGGCAAGACAAAAATTAGATGAGACCTACAAGTGTTTTCAGTTATGGACCTTTCTCTTAAGGAGCAGTTCCACAAGTTTAAGTGAAATTACTCACTGGAGTCATCATTTTTAATTCCTGAGGCTGTATTCACGTCTATTAAAATTTTATTTTGCCATGTCTGCTATGAAGAGCTTCAGAGACTAATTATTTGAGTTTTATGATTTAAGATACAGACTAATTGAAAAAGTTTTGGAAAGGTGTTTTCATTCTCTTCTTCAGGATTTCTTCCGGCACTTACCTCATTGGATCCAACAGCACACAGCCATGAATGATGCTGGTAATTTTCTGATTGAAACGTGTGATGAGACCATTTCCAGAGACCTTAAACAGCAGCTTCTGTTACTAAATGGAAGATGGAGAGAATTGTTTATGCAAGTGAAACAGGTATGTGGTTTTGCTGTTGTTACTTTTAGAGTTAATTTGTCATTTCCACTCAATCAAGACAGATTTTCCCCACAAGCAGGACAATAGAACAATATGCTAAAGTACCTAACTGTTCATTATTATTTAAATTAGAAATGAATACCTGAAAAGAGTTTATTTTATTGGGGGGTTTTCTTTGTTTATCTTCTTGGCTATATGGTGTTTCACTTTTATTTTTTTGACATTTTGAACTAGTATAAGCTGTAGTTTTTCTTTTTGGTCTTTATGGCTAATATTGTTTATGCATATTCTCTACTGTTCTTCAAAGTAGAAGAAAATTATTGATTTAACCAGCCGTTGTTATTGTAAAAGCTCTGTCAAACTGAACAGTGAAAATGTTCTTAGTGAATATTTAACTACTCTTAGTATTTTACTACTATCTAATGAAAGTTACATTCAATTATTTTACTGCAAGTAGAAGCAAGTACAATGCAGGTTAATTAACTAAATGTTTCCCCAAATTGGTCAGACATTATTTCTATTGTGCACAATGAGGCACTGATAGTAAAAGAAAAAAATTACCCTTTATCTCACGGAAGAGACTCAACTGACTGGAAGAATTTTTTTTCTGTCATACAATCATTGAATGGTTAAGGTTGCAAGGGGCCTTAAGATCATCAGGTTCCAATCTCCCTGCTATGAGCAGGGACACCTCTACTCTTTAAAGAAAACTAAGAGAAGATAGGAGCTAAATTACACAGAATTATTTCACACCTCATAAACACATTCGCAAATCCCTTCGCTATAGCCAGTGTGCATCTAATGGTATTTTCTCCTTCCAGTGATTTTAAGTAGTAGTTGCCCATTTGAAGATGCTGAATATAAAATTCTTTAAGTTCTTTACTGCCACGATTATTTCCATTGCAGTAAAATAATTTGGAAAAAAATCCAAAACCAAAACCCAAACCATTTTAAGATTGCCCCTTTTTATTGTAACTTTTCCAAACTGTTGACTAGGATGTTCTCGATCTTTATTTGCTGATTATATTTAGGGTGATTCACTGTGGAAACAGAAATGCCAAGGATGTAAATGTCTCTTCCTCTACATTTGCAGCTTCTTTCATGTTCTGGCTATACAGTTTTTCTCCCTGGCTTTTCACCATTTCTGTCATACAGCTCTTTCCACTTTGAATCACCTGTGATTCCCCTTCCTCCAGCTACCAATTTTTTTATTGAAATTGCCATTATCCTTCGGCTTTTCTAGGCTTTTCATGTTCTATTCTCTGCCGAATTTTCAAAATTGGTGTCTAAATGATCCAAACCTTAAAAATGTTTGACCCTCTTGTGTGACTTTTTTTTTTTTTTTTAATATCAGCACTATTGAAGCTGATGCCGATGATTAGTGTCTAACTAATTGAGAAGACTGTTTACATTATATTTTATTTTGTTGAATATAGTTTTTCCAGCAAGCAATTGCACTGAATTCTCTGAAGTAATAACTTAATTGCCAGATATCTCATTTGGGATCATTATTATTTTGTTCTTTAAATTTTTTAATCTATTTTTTTTCTACTTTACATTTTCTTAGTATGCTCGAGCAGATGAACTGGAGAAAATGAAGCAGGAATACCTGGATGGTGTTGCCCATTTGACAGCTTTTATTGATGGAAGCAATGGGAAATTTTCAGTTCCTGTAGAAGTGTCCTTCCTTGATGTCAAAATGTTTGTACAAGATTTAGAAGTAAGTGTCTTCCTTCCATTCCTTTCTTTCTCCAAGAGGAACTTGTAACTGATTAAATACTGTCCCACTAAGTATTTATTTATGTGCAGTTTCAAATCACTCTGAGGTGAGTTGACTAATACCCTTTGGCTCAGTTTTCATTTATTTGAAATATAATCTGATGTTTACTAAAATTAGCAATTAAAACAATTTATGATTGGGACGTGTATCTTTTATCAGCATAAATGCTGTTGTTGAAATAGTTTTTGAAACTTTTTTTTTCAGAATATTAAGCAGAAATTGCCCGCGATGGAAGCTCAGTATAAAGTGGTTACAAGAACTGCACAACTTGTTACAAAAGAAGTTTCCCAAGAGGAAGTGAATGAAATTCTTGGAACTTTGACAAGGATCAAAGAGCAGCTGAACAAGGTTGCAGAATATTTTTTCTGCTACATAGGTTGTTGACTGTTGAACTAATAAATAGTAAGCTCCCCTACATACTCAGATATGTGTTTGAGCAAATATATAGTTATAGTAAGAATAGATTAATTCAAACTGTAGAAAATATTACTTCTTTTAGACATTAAGTCTACCATCCCTGAATGTTACAATATTTTCTTAAGAAGTAATACAGGATCAGGATTGATCTATCTTAAAAGAGGCAAGTATCATTATATAAATCCACATGCAAAGGAAGCTATTTAATGAATGTACATGTTTTTTTAATAATTATTTTTCTTTGAAATGGCCAAAAGGTTAAGGAATATTCCTGTGCCCTGCTGTATGAATGCCAGAATCTGCTGCCTCCACTGGAAGAACTGGAGAAACAAATCACACATTTTTATGAATCTCTTGAAAAAGTCAACGAAATAATTTCTGTCATGGATCCTGAAACACAACCTACAAGTGTTCTTAAACAAAAAGCCCAAGTAAGTCTTAAAAACATTCACAACAATCTGCTGCCTCTGAGTATTTACAATTAGCTTTCTAGAAATTTGGATTGCAACTCGGTAAGCTGAGCAAATATTTCTTCATATTCAGACAACAAACATAGCCTGTCCTAAAGTCAGCCAGGCATAAACATAAAAATATATACATTTGTGTTCCCTCCTAGTGCTCATGATTTTCAAACCAAGAAGCAAATATAAGACTTGTTTTGGGTTTTTTTGTGGTTTTTTTGTTTTGTTTTGGGGGGGGATTATTTTGTTTCTTTGCTTTTTGTTATAGTTTTTGTTAATTATCTAGTGGAAATTGGACTGAGGTATCAGTCGTGTCCAACCTGCAGGCTAAGGAGCAGCTCCTAAGAGCTAAGGAGCAGCTCCTTTGCTCTGCTTCTAAAGGTTAATCTGCCCCGGAATGTTACAATAAAAAGACATGTTTCTTCTGCAGTTAATTGCCAACAAAAGAACAAAAATCTCTTCAGTTATGTGGATGGTGCTTGTTTCTGCTAATCAGAGAGTAGACATATGTGCTGAGGAATACAGTGTTCCTTCAGTTAGCAGGACAGTTTACTCACTACAAGTTTATTTTAAACTTTTTTTTTTTTTCAGCTTCTGCATCTTCATGCATGTTTTATTCTATCTCTTTCTTTTTTCTTTCTTTTTTTTAAGTATAATTCTCATTACTTAATGTCATGTAATGAAATCTGAATTCCAATAGCTGACATGACGGGTTGATTTGCTGAAAGGCAAGAAACGTTAATTTCTCAACCTACTACTGAAAATTGCCATTCTTACGTCTGTTGTTCTCACCGCTGCCTGCTTACAATTATACCATAAATATAGACATCCCGTAAAAATGAAGTCACAGAATAATATATTGACCTACATTCTCTCATACTAACCAAAAGGCTGGGGTACATATCTGTGTCTTTTTTTTTTTTTGGTTATAGATAGCTAAAACTGTATTTGGGTACAGGACTCTGCACACAAGGAGGAAGTTGTGTGGTCTGTGTTACTCTGTATAACATTTTGTGTAGTCTGTGTATCATGGTGCTTTGAGCTTGTCCCTTTTGCTCTTATTGCCAAAAAATATCTTCCTGTTATTTTGCCGAACTTTTTTCTCCTTTGTTCCTGGCCAGGGTGGATATATGTGGTTTTTTTTTCTTTCAGGATTTGGTAGCTTATCAAGAAAACTGCAAGAAAGATTTGTCCCTGATTGAGAGAAATAGTCAGAGTATCCTGCAGCGTGTGACTTCGAGTGAAGCGTTACAGCATTTTCATCAGTCGACATTTCAGAAGAAAGTTACACAAGTTCAGATTACTTTTCAGGTAATTATGTCACATCTTGGTGCATATTTTGGAAAGTTTGTTCATATGCAGCAGATCCATCCTACCATATCTCCATTTTGTAACTCTGTAGGTACTGTCATAGAGAGCTCTCCTCTCTGATGTCAAGTTATTAGCTAAGTTTTTGTCTGTGTTAGGTAATACATGGTCAGGGGACTGACTGGCAAGCTCTCCGTGGCAATTCAGAAGTGAGCCTGCCTCAGAGGAACCCAGAATTTAAGGAGAACTTTCACACATCTCAGGCTCCTTTGAAATGAGGAGCCTGAAATCCACATATTAGGACTGCACTGGTTTTTGTTTCTCCTGGCTAATTTTTTGCTCCTATATTGCCACACATCCCCTGTCAGACAAAACATGGAAGATAAAAACTTCTGCAAAAGCTACTATTGCTGGGCTTTGTATTTCCTCAGAAAATGCAGTGGATTTTGAATATAAAAAGTTGCAAATACATATTTGCATTTGTTAATATAAAGATGTGTGCTTAGCCCAATTAGCTGTAGAGGTCTATGTTGTTATTAGCCACACTAGTATTCTGGGGGCTATTCAGCCCCAGTCTAGCCCTAGTGCTGTATGAAATTCACCATTGTCTTGGAGCCAGATCTCCAGATTTTGGTTTCTATTAGATTTTTTTCAGGCTCATATTGTTCAGTGTAAAGCTATCTAAGCTGCAGAAAATCACTTATCAGTAAAGACCTGTCTCTAGGAAGTGAATTTCAAGGTTTGTATTGTATTTACAATTTAGAAATTATTGTTTAAGTTTAGCTTATAATAACAGAAGCAGATACAGTTGTAGCTTATTAAATTTAACATGTTGAGAATTAATGATTCTGCTTCTATGAAGATGGATAGTTATTTACCTCATTTTGCTTAGAAAATAAACTTAAAAAACATGGTACGGCCATACAGAATGTGACATACCCACAGTTAAAATATTTATAGATCTGGAAACTGACATTTTCTCATGTAAAGAATACATGACTCTATGATTCTGTTACTATACACAAAATTGTATCAGGAAACTTGGAAAAGGCTTAGAAAGATGTCTAAGTTGAAAACAACAGATTTTACTAACTCACTGGGTAAAATCTTCAAAATTCCTTACACTACAGTTTGTGATCAGTGAGGATGGTAAACTGTATGGTTAGTGTTGGCATTACCTTGGTGCAGAGAGCTACTCATTTTTATTTGAATGAAGAACAATGGCATGAACCTTACTGTAAGTGTTAGAAATTGGGAAAAATGGGAGCATGAAAGGGTGAAGCACTTGTGGACAGCATGTATTTAAAAGAGTTACACAAATCATACGCAGTTTTTGCAAGATGATGGTAAAAGAGAGCAAATAAAAATCAGTGAGAAAGTGCCAGCTCATTTTCTCTGCTTATAACTCAGAATATGGCCAGGAAAGCTGATGACTGGAGAAAGAACATAGAAGCAAATAGCCGATTGATGAAGAAATTTGAGGAGTCTAGAGCAGAACTGGAGAAAGTAATACAGTTTGCCAATTGTTGCTTAAAAGAAAAAGGAAATCCTGAAGAACTTCTCAGGAAGCATAGCGTGAGTAAATTCTTTGATCTTCCTCATAGAAATCTAAGAGTGCATGACATACAATTGAAAAGACTACTTAATTTTAAAACTGATGTGGCTATCTTTCATATACACAAATTGTACGGGTCTGGTCAAACTAATGTTGAGATTGAAAAACAAAAAGGAAACAAGATCATCCCTCTTTTTGATAAATGTAAGCAACCAGAAGGTGAAGGGAGAAAAATGCTTGGAACTTAGGGTTGACTTTGCCAAGTAGAAATACTGGGAGTGAGAACACTACATTTTGCCAGTTTCAAGCAACCGCTGCTTTTTTGTTTGTTTTGTTTTGTTTTTCCAGAATAAGATCTGTATTATAACTACTAATTATGCATGTAGCTTTAAAATATTTTCGTCTTAAAATATCATCTTAGTGAACCAGCTGAGAATAAATTAATTTGCTGGACTTTAAATAGCTAGATATAGTTCTGCCTTTAGTTTACACTTCAGCTGTTCAGTGCAGCAGAAGTAACCTTGAAACTTACAAAGTATGTTAGGGAGCTTCATGTCAGCAATTCCCATACCAATAACCAGCTTCATCTTCTCACCTTCTTACTTTCCACCTCAAATTTAGGAATTCTTTAATCAGTTGGATCAGAGAGTCCTAAATTCCTTTCTGAAAGCATGTGATGAACTTACTGACATACTCCCAGAACAAGAGCAACACAACCTACAGGAAGCTGTGAGAAAACTCCATAGGCAGTGGAAGGTTAGTGAGAGTGAATGATGTCTCTGGAAATTTTAGGTCTTAACTTTGGAATGTTTCTGCATAACCTATATTTTGAAAAATAATTTTTAAAAGGATGTATTATTTGGCTTCCTCTAAAATATGGGGGGAATGTATTTTACAATATTTGGTACAATTACACCTACATATACTCTCTTGAAAAAGTTCTGTTAAGTAAAGTGATCAGAAGTCAAAAAATGTGAGAAATTAATTACAAAACTTTAATTTCTCCCCCTACGTGCAGCAATAATGATACCTGTGTTAAGAACAATTTCTGAGAATAAGTGCCATATTTTCTTAATTCATGCCATTGTTGAATGATTGCAGCTACTTTTTCAACCTTAATAAAACAAATTTGTAAGTGATAAGGCTACAAGTTTAAACTGCTTATTCTGCCACAAGTTCTAACAACTGAAAAAATTGCTCTTAAGCTATGGAATTTTTTGCCTGCTGCAGTATGTTGGAGGCTAAAGCTGGAGTGATGGATGTGTGATTTTTCACTAGCACCCAAACAGGAACTGCTGGAAGCAGTTCTGAATATAGCTTTCCTATGATTGTTTGCTTTATTATTTTATGCAGGAAATACTTGGCATATCTTGCCAAGAATTAGGATGGCTCTGTAATGGGCCTTCTGCATACATATTCTGGTCCACAAAAACTTATGACTTTATGATACATCTAAGAGATATTGGTGAGAGAGTTGCTTTATTTACTTAAATTAAAATGGAGAAATCTGTTCATGCATATATATGCTTTACTTTCTATATTAGCACTTTTTAAAATTCTTTTGCACTAAAGTAATGAGAGGTGTTTTATCTCTGTGCTTGGTCATTGCTTCTGTGGGTGTGTAGGATCTCCAAACAGAAGCCCCATATCACTTAATCCACTTGAAGATAGAAGCACAGAAAAGCAAGTTCCTGGTCACAGTGGAGGAGTGCAAAGCTGAACTAGCTCGACAGAACAAGGTGTTGTCAAGAGAAGGCAATGAAAGGATGATTGAGGAACACATGGTATGAATTATAAGCCACACTGTGGGCATTTGCAGAAATACATTTCAATCTTGATAATAAACAGGCCAGACCAAATCTTAAGCGACCAAATGTTCTGTGCACAACTAAACTAGATCAATCCTTGGGGTCTTTAACAAAACATTTTATTTGAGCTTAGTACACTTTATAACAAATGCATAGATGTGCATTTTGATTTCTGCCATTTTTTGTTTTTTATCAATTCTTCTGCTTTGTCTCCCATTAGTTGTTCTTTGGTGACAAAGGACCATACCATCTGTGTGAGAAAAGGCTACAACGAATGGGGGAACTTTGCCAAAAACTGCCAGTTACTGATCCAGTGAGAGCTACTTTGGAAAGCAGCCAACGAATCCTGAAGGAACTCAAATTCCAGATAGACAGCACATATGTAAAGCTCACAGAGCATTCGGACACCTGGAAGGGCTACAAGAACAGGTGTCAGTTCAATTGCTAGCTGGGTCTTCTAGAGCCTTATGTGTGGTCACTCTTCTATATGCCATGATAGATCAGTACTACATGAAGAATGATATTGTGTTCATAGAATCATAGAATGGTTTGGGTTGGAAGGGACCTTAAGGATCACCAGGACCAACCCCCTGCCATAAGTGTGGAGATCTCCCACTAGACCAGGTTGCTCAAAGCCCCATCCAGCCTGGCCTTGAACACTTCCACGGATGGGGCTTCCATAGCTTCTCTGGGCAACCTGTTCCAGTGTCTCATCACCCTCACACTAAAAAATTTCCTTGCAGTGTCTGATCTGAATCTCCCCTCTTCAAGTTTTAATCCATTTACCCCTTGTCCTCTCACTATAAGCCCTTGTAAAAGATCCCTCCCCAGCTTTTCTGTACATCCCCTTCAGTTACTGGAAGGCCACAAGGAGGTCTCCCCAGAGCCTTCTCTTTTCCAAGCTGAACAACTCCAGCTCTCTCAGCCTGCCTTCATAGGAGAGGTGCTCTAGCCCTCATAATTTTTGTGACCCTCCTCTGGACTCATTCCAGAAGCCCAATGTCCTTCTTGTGTTGGGGGCTCCAGAACTGGACACAATAGAGTTGATGGCTTCAAGTAGAATTATAGTGGGGTTTTGGGAGCATTTTGTAATTTTTTGCTCAAATTTAAGAGGTTACCATCTGGTGGTGGCAATTTTTGCCCAACTGTTTTCCTTGCTTTGCATTTTGTCATGTTTTGTTTCAGATTTTCTGAATTGGAAAATTGGATTTTGTCAACAGAAAGAGAGCTAAAGAAGATAAAGGAAAGTCTCAATGATACTGCCAAATACAAGCAATGTAAAGCATCCATAGGGGTGAGCCCTTGGCTTATATTCTAACAAAGCTACTGCCATTGCTACTGGGACTCTGGATAAAACTGTATTCTGAAACAATGCAACTGTTTTGCTGCGGATACCGTAGCAGCTCTGCTGATTCCTGGTGTTCTTAAAACCATTTCCAGGAGAACATTCCACATGCAAGAAAGTGTGGCAGAATTTCCTACTTTTAATAATTTAGAGAATGGCAGGTCCCTTTGCCTGTATTTTCAGAGCAATGAAAATACAGAAGCAGATGGAATAAATACTTGCCCGTCATCCTGCTGCATGCATAATTAAATGTGTTGTGTAAACAAAACCCAAAATTTTGGGACTCAGGTTTTTTTGAACAATCAAGTTACTGTCTTACATTTAAGAGAATCTTCTATTAAAAAATAAATAATTCTCTTCTATGACAGTATAACAGGGGACCCATTTGCTTTCGCATTGGTAGCTGGTAATAGAATGGTAGAATAGTTGAAGATTGAGTAATTTGGCTAAATTAGTTTTAGGCAATAATATACTGTCACTTGGGACCTAGCTTGACAATTTTTTATTTATTTTGTTGTTGTTGTTTCACATACTAGGACCAAAAAATAAGAATGTAGGATACTGTAGGAGTTCTTGTAAAAGCCATGAGCAGGTTATGAGGTTAACTGTACATAGAGACATAGTAAGGATGACCTTGATAAAGCAGATAAATCTTTAGCTTAATGGGTGCTCCTGCTCCAGAAAGTCTGATTTATTCATGCAGTTTCACTGCTGGCAGCTTCTTACCAGCACTGGCACAAAGCTATGAATGAATTAGTGGTTGAAAATAGGGGTGAGGGGGAAGAGCTATTTACATAGAGAAAAAATACACAAAGCTTTATATCACGTGACATTGTATGTTTGGGAAAGTCAGCATTTAAAAGCTAACTGGTAACTAAGAAATTTGGTCAATGTGTGGAAAATCTATACACGGTATCTATTATTTATCCATTACACTGTTAGGCTGTAAAGAAAAAGTACTCTACTGCTACTGATTAAAGAATGATCTAGTAAGTAGTAGTGGAGTAGAATCTGTGGAGGCAATGCAGATATCTAGCCAACTGGAAAAGAATGAGATACACAAATAGAAAAATACTACATTTCCAATGTTTTAAGATAAGAATAAAGGTAGTATGTTCACACTACTAGTTTCTGAACTGATGCCATGAATGTCACTCATTAATATATTTTATTTGAAGAAAATACATTTTGATTCTTCCATAGGAAATTAGGAAGCATATTAACAAGCAAGGAGAAAATCACGGCTGGCTGAAATCTCGACTTGCTGTTTTGACTGCAGCATGTCCTGATTTGGAGGCCAAAAAGACAGAGGATGAGCTTTGTAAACTTTCCAGTGACTTCAAGGGACTCCTAGATTTGCTGGCTGAGGTATAGTATGAGGAACACAAGAATTCTGCATTTACAGTGTCACATGAAATGACATAAATCATGGCTTCATAAGCGTAAATTTCCTCCTGTGTTTTTGTTGGGTTTTTTTAATTGAACTTCAAGCATTCAGCAATGAAAAACTCTTACTCCCTGGGTAGCAAAGCCTTCAGAGTAGCAGGCAACAAAATACTGAAATTAGTGTAACAGATTTTTCCCCTTTGCAGGATTGGAAAGCATCATAGTAAATGTTTCTGGAATCAAAATGTCATTATTTTTACAGGCAAAAGTTAATTTTCTAAAATCAGCTCTTTGCCATCGTTGGCAAAACCAGGATGTACATCAGCTAATGGATACAAAATTTCACTTTAATCTTAATTTATGTATCTACTGTGAGTTAGTTTCAAATCATTAAGGATGTCTGTCATTCACTGAATTTGCAGGAAAAGGCTGGTTCTCTGAAGTCTGAATTACAATAATGGGAAGTTTCTAACTGAGAAGCCAAAACTCTTAGAATCCACTCAACCCTTGAGTTTGTGGGACTTCAGGGGACCTACAACTTCACAGATTTCACAGTAAAAAAAAAATCAGAAGAAACAGAATATCTTATACTTAGAAGGTAGAACAGATCCATTTGAAAGAAAGAGTTCAGGAAAGAGAAAGAGTTGAGGTTTGAATTCCATTGTTAATGTTCATTCTCATGGAGGCCTTCTAAGTGTTCCAATTGTATAAAAATTCTATGTATTTACTAAGACTTCTTTAACCTTCTGTGGTGTGAAAACTACACTTGGAAATTTGGGGGAAACAATGTTTGGATTTCCAAGTGATTGCAAAAAAATCAAGATTTCTTCTTTTAATTTTTTTAAAATTTTTATTAAAGTACCTTTGCCTTTTGTTTCTTCCAAATGTCAGAACTAAGGGGAGTTTAGGTTGATGAAGGAAAAAAAATAAGAAAACTAGAATCTAAACTTGTTTTTAATCTAAAGGCATAACCTAAATGGCACTTTATACTGTAATTAAGAGACTGATGATTCTTTACATTCTGAATACTCTTTACAGCTGAATTTAATTCTTGTTAGTGAGATGGATGAGACTGTTCAGACAAGGACTGATACTGGGTATTTCCAGAGTTCAGCAATGTTTTCCAGAAAGTAAAGACTAAACATTTATATGATAGGAAAAGGAGTTTCTTAGTTCCAGAATGCTTTGATTAAAACCTTAAAACACAGGGAGAGTCTGAGGAACAGAGTGTGTGCTAATAATCAGCTACAAGTAGTTAGCTGAATCATGCCAACTTTCAAAAATGTTATAAAATAGTTTAACCAGAGCACCAGAGCATTGCTCTAGAAAGTCCAAAAGGCAGCAAGATTTTTGTGAGTTGAGTAGCACAGGTGTCTCAAGATCTGGGTCACCTTGCAAGGCTGAGGGCAGCATGTATCTTTGTAGTTATCACAGTTATAAGTGGATGTCACAAAAAGCTATTTACCATATGGCAGTGGAACAGAGAATATTTCTAAAAAAGGACAAAGCTCTCCTCAGTCACATTTTAATTCTACAGCCAGCCTTTCAATGTAAAGTGAAACAGGTCTGTTAAGAATACTGGAGACAAAAATTGTTTGAATGCAGACAATTTACTATGTTTTTTGAAAAAAAACATATTCCAAATATAAATGTGCCCTTGAAAAAGTGGATGTGTCTTTCAATATGAAATACTAAAAGTTATTTGCAATTGTAGATTGAAAAGACATTAGGCACTGTTGGAGACTGTGTACAGTACAAAGAAGAAGTTAAAAGTGCAATTGAAGACTTAATGAACAACTCCAAAGAAGCCCAAGCAGAGGCTGAAAAGATCCTGGATACAGAAAGTTTATTACAAGCTCAGCAACTACTACTTCATCATCAGGTAGGGCAATTACTCGTATCCATATCCTATTTTTTTATTTTTTTATTAAGGTAGAATGTATGTAATTACTACATTTTTTTAATGCCCATTAGCATAACTCCTTATTGAAAGAGTTAAAAAGAAAATGGTCTCATATGGCCTAGTATTGACTTCTTATAAAAGTATTAATTATTTTTTAAATGTTAGTGCCCAAGTATGACTTTATTTTTCAACTTATATTAAATTGCCTTTTATTTCACATGGGGTTTTTTGGCACAGAAGACCTGAAAAATAGGCCTCATCTACTTGAAATTTTGGCTAAGTGCACTCTGCAAATATGTAGTCTCTCTCTTTTTACCTTTTTTAAGTTTTTGTGTCAGATTTGATCATGTTAAGTTTGCCCTGATCCTGGTTTTGGAATATTTTTTTTTGCTTCAGCAGCTTTGATGTGACCCCAGCTCTAAGTGCTGGAGGGAAGATGTGCCTCCAGACTCAAATCCTCCTGTAGGTAGCTAGTGCAGTGACAGATTGACCTCCAGTCTGTAGAACAGGAGGTTTTTTATGCACTGGTAATAGCTCAAAATATCTACAGTCTACAGTAATAATAAATCATATTAGTTGCATACAGCAAAAGTCATGAGTTTTAAGGCCAAATATGGGAAATAAACTTTGATGTCTGCTCGAAGGTCATAAGAACAATTAACTGACAATGTTTGGGTAAAGGTTTTATATTAACATCTCTCTCTGTATGGTCAGAGATCTTGTCTGACCAGACACTACTGTGTCTTACCTCTGTCTTATCTAAAGTCTTTGGTATATGTAAATGCTATTGTATGTGTTAAGGCTCATATTTGTTCTTTCAGTACTCTACATTCCTGTCTGTCACAGGAGGAGTAGTAGGAATAGTTAACTTCTCCTTGAGTTCTCAGACTCTTCTTTTTCTGTTGGTATGGACACTTACTATGTTAAAATCTGACTTTGACAAAGACGTTAGGATTCCCAGAGTAGAACTGAGCAGGAAGCTGTGAACTTACTTAGCACACTGGCAATGGATCAGGCATGCACGTTAGGAAAGGTGAGGGGAGGTAGTCATAGGAGTTTCTGATGGTAGAAAGCAAAATGCATCAAAGAAAGAATTATTCAACTTGGACATCCCCCTGCTGCTCTCTAATGAAAGCTGGTATGTTGCTTTGCTCAGTCTGAGGCTCTAACTTGTCTCTCAAAGAGTGCAGAGCAGACCTAGATGCTTCCAGGCAGTCATGAGGAGTACATGCACCTGTGGTTACTGCTGCAATTCCTCAACTGTTGGAGCTTCTGCTCTCTAAAATATTGTTTTGAATAAATGGCCTTACTGTCACTCCTTTGCTTCCCTTTGTACACCATAAAAGCTGCATACGCATCTTGAAAACCAAGGCATATACTTGATGAGCACATGAGAATCTCAGTACTTACTACAGTTTATTCCATTGTCTGTCATCCTCATTACATACCTCTGCAAAGCAAAAAGTGGTTTCATTGTGCCAGTTTCCCAGAAGGAGCTAAATATCTAATAATTTCTACTGAATGAATCTTTTTAGCAAAGGACAAGGAGACTCCGTGCAAAGAGGCAAGATGTGCAACAGCAGATTTCCCAAGCTAAACAGTTGCAGATTGAAGGTGGACTGCCCAGCACAATGCAGGAGGATATACAGAAGTTGGAAGGAACATTGGAGAACATGCAGCAGACTATGGAGAAACGTGAAGAGCAACTGCAGGTGGGTCCTCTTCAAGTAGAAATAAAGTCCTGTGCTTTCTTCTTGTTTGTTGTTAGGGTTTTTTTTCAACTTAGTAAAAAAACCCAGTTTTTTTTAATGTAAACAGTTTGATCTCACTTTCTCACCTGTGAATCTTGATGCTTTGGGTTTTCATGGTCAGTACCTCTGAAAACTTCTTTAAACTGCTGGATACATCTTAATAAAGAAATAGCTTTTTTTTTCTTTCTTTCTTTCCTCTGGGGTGCAGGGGAAGAAGAGTTTAAAAGTCCCAAATATTTAGTAATAATAGATATTTTAAATAATTTATCTGTTAATTAATTTTTAGATGGGCTGTTTCCCCTGGTTACTAAAGATGATATTGTCCTTTAATTGAGAGTCTTTAGGCTGGATATTAGCTTAATAACACCTGATGTTGTGCTAATATAATCCTCACAACTACTGTGTGAAATACATGCTGTCATCCTAATATTAAAGAAGAAAGAAAAAAATCACAGAAATCAAATGGATGCACCAAGTTGTATAAGTAATCACTGACTGAACTGGGCTTAGAATTTGTAGCTTCTTGCGCTTACATCTGATTTGACCTTTTCATTTATTTAAGCGGAATATTAATCCAGCTGTCCACTATTTCAAACAGATGTTTAAAGTAATCAAAACTATTTTCCATGATAAAACACAAGATGGAAAAACATGATTGGTAGAGCTCAAATGTCATCTTAATATAAGAATTTACTATTGAAACTTTTTTTCTGATGAATCCCATGTATAAAGCATAATCCAATGTATAAATTCAGGCCTTGCTTCAAAGTAAAAAAAAAACAACACCTCTTTATACTCTCATAATTTTTGTGACTGGTAATTAAATGCATTATGTTAATCGAAGTTTTATATTATCAGAAAATAACAAATTTATTCCTATGTATTTTCGATTACCTGTCACCATAAGCATAGGCATGTAATTCAGACTTCTTATAAGACATTCAAATATAAGATTTAAGTATTGCTCACACCTTGGAGAACAGTGCTTTTTTACACAACACACTATGAAACAGTGAAAATTCATGGAAAAAAATTCCTCTGTTGGGTTCAAAACAGTATCATCTGTAGAATTATGAGGATATTTTTTATGTCAAGTCTTTCTCTTTTTTCTTTCTTTAGTAATTTTTAATTAAATTGGTTTTTTCTCTCATTTGATCTTTTTGTCTTTATGTTCCTGTTTTGGGTTTGTTTGTTTGTTTTTTGTAGGTCACAGTAAATAAATGGGAGCAGTTTGAAAGGGACAAAGAAACAGTAGTGAAGTATCTCAGTCAAGCAAGTTCTGCACTTGAACGAATCTTAAACTTTAGCAGTTTAGAGAGCCTCTGCTCAGAACTGGATCAGACAAAGGTATTCACTGTGTTAAATGCAGGAACTAAGATACCTTGTTAACATGCAGTGAGTGTATTGACTTCAATCTTTGCTTGTTTCCCTCTTAATGTTAATGCAAAGTGTGTATACAGATCAGAGGCTGTGTAAACTTAGGGGTAAATGGTTATTTTATGAGAATATTGTGAAGAATTACTCAAAATCTCCATCTGAAGCTCACAGATGGAAGACAACATGATTTTGAAGACTTCCTAATTTATGCTCAGTAATCACCTATACTAGTAAAGTTACACAGTGTCAAGCACTGGCACGTCAATATCAGTAGTGTGCTTATTGGCAAGGTTATGTGGACTGTGCCACCTAGCACTCTTTAACCCCAAGGAGAAAAGGGAGAGAGTTCTAAATTATGAACGTAAACCATAACATGCTTGCCCTCAGTAACAATTATCCCTGTCTGTTTTATGTATTAATCCAGAAGTTACAGTAGTGATTGGGTTTCCAAAGTGCCATGCTTTTCATGCTGTTTTTACCCTTTGACAAATCTGACAATAAATTGTACATAAATTATGCTCAGCATCCATTGTTCTGGTGTATGGGTTTGCTGTTTGTGACAGAAAATAGTTATTAAATAAAGTGAGATTACGAACTGCAGGATATTGCAAAATCCTCTCTGTAAAGGATAGGATCTACAAATTTCATTAAAATGTGTATAATCTGTGACAATTCACAAATAAATTTCATTAAGAGCTATAGAATACATTTTTATTGGTTGAGTTAAAAACTTCTGGATATACAATCTTCCTTACTAGATTTTATTCAAGCTAGTTTGATCAGATTAACATTTCTTAAATGCAACATGAAAACTTTCTTAAGAGATTACTTTTATGCATTTACACATTCAAAATATACATACAGGACACAGATACTTTTTCTAACCACATTGAGGAAAAATACTTTTTCTGTAAATATACAAAACCTTGTCATTGTAATAATGTGTCTTGCATTCTTACAGGAACTTTCTAAACAGACTGAAGCAATGGCAGTGCAGGCTGAGAATTTGGTGAAGAATTCTTCTGAGATACAGCTTGGTTCAAAGAACAAGCAGTCCCTTCAACAGCAGGCAAAATCAATCCAAGAACAAGTGAAAAAAGTGGAAGTTACTCTTGAAGAAGAGTATGTTCTTAACAAGTCCTAATATTTATTCTCCACTATAAGATTGTATCAGATGTCTAGAATACCTTGTCAGCATTTTGTGTTGTCTATTAACTCCGTCATTTACAGATTGACATGGAAGATTAACCAGGTTATAGTAGCAAATATGTCGAAAGAG